GGTTTATTGATTGACCGTGGTGTTCAAATTGATGATATAACTTGTTGTTTCTGTCATAGTTTGGAGGAACTTCCAACTCATTTATTTTTAACGTGCTCAGTTTCATCTCAAATCTGGTACTTTACTGCGCGTTGGCTTGGATTCTCACTGGTTTTGCCTTCAGATTTATCGACTCACTTGCTTTCTTGGGTTGGTGTTGGCTGTAGTAAAAGAGAGAGGAATATGCTTATTAATTATTTGGGTAAGTACAGTGTGGTCTTTGTGGTTGCATAGAAATAGAATTATATTTTCCAATGGTGTTTTGGATGAGAGGGAAGTCCTAGATTCTATTATTCTGAGATCTTGGAAATAGTTATCACTTGTTAGTAAGGGAGAAGCTATTATGTTAGCTGATTAGTATTTGAACCCACGAAACTGCATCTGTCTTAATTTTGCGTAAGTATATTTTTACTTTTTATTTCTCTGAGTAAGTAATTTTTTGTGTATATGGGTTTTGAATTCCCCTTGAACTCTTTTTAATAAGATTTGTTTTGCCTATAAAAAAAAAAAACTAGAAAATGATAAAAACTCTAGAAATAAAGCATATGAAAAGTGTTTATTAATCAAAATAAAACTATAAACGTAAACCTAAAATATGTCACATCAAATTCTACTACACTTAAGATTTTGCCCTCTAGGGCAAATCACAAAATCAAACTATAAGGGACCTAAAACAAATTAGGCAATGCATAAAGCCCATCAAGTTCAAATATCATGGCTAGAATGGAAATCAATCCTCACACTTCAAATTGACAAATGAACTTATCAAATCAAGTGAATGAACCATAAGAGATAGAATCCTCACACGATACACTCTCAATCACTCAAGTATATAGGTAAAGTGTGTCACTCAAAATGCACAACATAAACCACGATCATCCATAAGCTTTCCTATTGCCTAATTTTCCACTAGAATTTACATATACACACAAAAATCAAGAGGACTTAACTAGGTTATAAAGGGGCAGGGTGAAAGTGGAAAAATTACAAAGATAATGAAGCTAAAACCCAATGGGATATAAGAATAATGGGAAATGAATCCAAAGAAAATAAGCATGAAAGTAAATCTCCTAAACAAAGATGTAATACAATCCAAAAATAATCTTCTTTTACTTTTGTTAGCCATCTAAAGCTCATTTTCCTTTTTATTGCTTACTTCTTTTTTTTTCCTTTTTCTTTGTTTCTTCCTGTTTTTTCTAAGGAGCTAATTTTTCTTTTCTCTTGCATTTTTTAAAGTAATCTCTCCCACACTTATTTCTATGATCATTTCCAAAACAATTCCAAAGTTCTTATATCCCCTAAGGTTGGGTCATTTTATTGTTTTACACCTTTCCAAAACAATCACAAGAAATGGGACAATTAGGCTCAAGGGAGTTTAAACAATGGAAATAATGCAAGGTTGGCTTTTTGGTTAGTAGTTTGCAAGAAATAAATGATGCCTCTATCATGTTAATACAAGCATATGGAAATATAGTCTCAAAAAGTCTCAAGGTAAGTTCTAGTATCATACAACCATGAGTGCAATTCCAAAAACACAATAAGCATAAGGACAATTCAAACAATCCAATAAGTGAGAGAGAGAGGTAAGAAAACTCCCTATATATTGGGGTGGGTGGCCAATTCAAAAGTGACATCCTCTTGTTCATGTTCCTCCAAGCCCTTATGAAAAACTTTAAGCCGATGCCCATTAACCTTGAAGCTACTTAACTCTAGAATTATATAAAAGGACTTTGTCACCAGTGTGGAACTCTTTACGCCCTATTAGCTTATCATGAAAAGCCTTTATGCGCTCTTTGTAGATATTGGAGTTTTCATATGCTTCTTTACGAATCTCCTCCAACTCTTGCAATTGAAGCTTCCTATGTGAGCCAGCTGCCTCTGTATCTAGGTTACATTGCTTAATCGCCCAGAATGCCTTATGCTCCACTTCTACTGGTAGATGACATGTCGTGCCAAAAACATCCGATAAGGAGACATTCCTATGGGTGTTTTGTAGGTGGTTCTGTAAGCCCATAGAGCTTCCTCCAAGTGTAGACTTCAATCCTTTTTGTTGGGTTGGACAGTCTTTTCCAAGATTTGATTTATTTCCCTATTAGAGATCTCCGCTTGACCGTTAGTTTGAGGGTGGTATGGTGTGGAAACTTTATGCATAACCCCAAACTTTCAAAGTAAGGCAACCATTGTGCAATTGCAAAACTATGATCCCTGGTCACTGATTAATGCTCTGGGAAATTCAAACCTACAAAAAATATGTGACTTCACAAAATAAGCATCATTAGTATGAGTGGCCTTTACCTTCACCCACTTGGAGACATAGTCCACTACTAACAAAATATAGGTATAGCCAAATGAAATAGGAAAGAGACTCATAAAATCTATGCCCTATACATTAAATACCTCAAAGAAAAAGAGAGGTAGTTGGGGCATTTCATTCTAGCACGAGATGTTCCCAGTTGTTTGGCATTGCTCACATGTCTTACAAAAGTTATGTGCATCCAGGAACATGATAGGCCAATATAGTCCAGAATCTAAAATCTTTCAGGCTATACATTGAGGTCCAAAGTATCCACCATAAGCCAAGGAATAGCAAAATCTAAGCACAGATTGAAACTTAGGTTTGGACACACATTGTCTGATAATCTTGTCACTGCACTCTTCCACAAGTATGGATCATCCCAAATGTAGTATTTAAAATCACTCTTTAGCTTGGCAGCCTTAGCTTTAGAAAAGTATATCGGAATCTCCTTGGACCAAGGATCATGCCCTCCAATTTGATAAAACTGCTCATCTGGAAAGGTGTCTCTAATAGGGGGATCTTCTAGTGGCTGCTGAATTTTGCTCAAATGGTCTGCCAAGAAGTTTTCTGCACCATTTCTATCTCTGATCTCAATGTCAAACTCTTGCAAAAGAAGCATCCAGCGAATTAGTCTCGGTTTAGAATCTAACTTCTTAAGCAAGTACCTCAAAGCTGCATGATCAGAGAAAACAATTACTTTAGAGTTAAGTAAATATGAACGAAATTTATCTAAAGCAAAAATAATGGCTAAAAGTTCTTTTTCTGTAGTGGTGTAGTTTGCTTGTGCTTTGTCTAATATCTGAGAAGCATAGGCTATGACATGGGGTTGCTTCTTCACTTTTTAACCAAAGACAGCACCAACTGCAAAGTTTGAAGCATCACACATAAGCTCGAACGAAATCTCCCAACTCAGAGGCTGAATGATAGGAGAAGAAATGAGGCGCCTCTTCAGCTCATCCAAAGCGTCCTTGCAGGTCTGATCAGAGATGAAATTAGTATCTTTCTCCAAAAAGATAGATAATGGGGATGTGATTCTGCTGAAATCTTTGATAAAATACCTATAGAAACCTGCATAAACAAGAAAAGAGCGCACTTACTTCACTGAAGTAGGGTAAGGTAAAGAAACAATTACATCAATCTTGACTCTATCAGTCTTAATACCCTTACTTGACACTACATGCCCTAGTACAGTCCCTTCAGACACCATAAAATGACATTTCTCATAATTTAAAACCAAATTAAACTGTATACACCTATTTAATACTCTAGACAAGCTATCTAAGCATGCATCAAATGAAGATCCACAAACAGTAAAATCATCCATGAATACTTCAAGTGAGGTCTCTAGGAAGTACGTAAAAATGCTCATCATACACCTCTGAAAAGTGTCAGGCGCATTACATAGTCTGAATGACATTTGTCTGTAAGCAACGGTACCAAAAACACAAGTGAAGGTAGTCTTATGCTGATCCTCTAGGGCTATCTGTATTTGAAAGTAACCAAAAAATCCTTCTAGCAAGTAGTAATGGGATTTCCTTGCTATCCACTCAAGATCTGATCAATAAAAGGCAGGGGAAAGTGGTCCTTGCTAGTGGCCTGATTCAGCTTCCTATAATCAATACAGACTCGCCACCTATTCTGAATTCTGGTTGGAATTAACTCATCAAACTAGTTCTTTATGGCTATTATGTTGGTCTTCTTAGGTATAACATGGATCGAATTCACCCGCTCACTATCAGAGATCGGGTATATCATGCCAATAGTTAACAGTTTGCTAACTTCTTTCTTCACCACCTCTAGAAAGGTGGGATTCAGCCTTTTTTGGGACTGTCTCATAGGTTATGCATCTTCATCTAGCAGAATTTTTTGCATACAAGTGGATGGGCTAATTCTTAGAATGTCTACCAAAGTCCACCAAATTGCTTGCTTGTGGGCTGCTAAAGTTAGCAACAACTTCCCTTCTTGTGCAGCATCCAAATCTGCTAAAATGATCACTGGCAATTTGTTATCAGCATCTCAAATGCTTGGATAGAGGCTTTAGTTCGAATGTAGGTGGCTCATAATAGAGGGAAGTGTCCTGATGGAGAAGTCTAATTCTGCAATATGTATCTGAGCAGGTTCAGGGGTATGTGTACTTGTCATAATCAAGCTAGAACTTTCCAAACTTGTTGCTGCATGACATGAAATATCATTAGGTATTAAATATGCATCTATTTTAGCACAAACTTTACACAAATCTCCTATAGTGCATGTACAACTAGAAATATCAGAAAAATCAGTACAAAACTCCTCAGTTAAAACATCAATAATATCTATATGAAATGCACTATGCAGGTCTGATGGATGCTTAATGGCCTCAAAGATGTTGAATTGCACAACATTGTCTCCAAACTCCATAGATAGAATTTCTGAGTGCAAATCAATCTTTGTCCTTGCTGTTTTAAAAAAAGGTCTACCAAGGATCAATGTAGGCATATTGGACTCTTCTGCCATGTTCAAAATGTAGAAATCTGCAGGGAATATCAACTTATCCACTCTCATTAGCACGTCTTCTACTACTTCAGCAGGAAATGCAATGTTTCTATTTGCCAATTGAATAACTACATCAGTTTGCTTCAAAGGGCCGAGGCTCAAAGACCTATAGATTGATGTAGGCATCACGTTTATGGAAGCACCAAGATCAAGTAATTCATTGTTGAAGGTGAAATTTCCAATAGTGCAAGGGACAGTAAAAGTGTCAAGATCCTTTCATTTCTACGACATATTGAGCTATATGAGGGCTGACACGTTCCTCCCCATGTTGACTCTCATCAACTTGAAAACTCTTAAATACCCCTCAACTCGCGACATTCTCACTACAGTGAGCCAATTTTCCCTACAGCGAGACCTTCTCTCGTTGTAGCGGAAAAATCAAACAAATTTTTACTTTGTTGTCTGTCATTCTAGCTACAACGAGAGCACTTGGCAAAGAAATTTGAGATGAAAGAACTTGGTCCTTTGAAGTACTTTCTTGGAATTGAAGTCTCAAGATCAAAGTTAGGTATTTTTTGTCTCAGCGTAAGTATGCATTAGATTTATTGAAAGAAACAGGGATGACAACATGCAAACCAACAAATTCTCCAACTGAAGGGGGATTGAAGTTGTGTATTAAAGAAGATCAAACTCCAACTAACAAGGAAAGATATCATAGACTTGTAGGCAAATTGTTGCACCTCGCACACACTAAGTCAAATTTAACTTATACTCTTAGTGTGATTAGTCAGTTCATGCACAATCCAAGTGAAAAACACATGGACGCTGTCATACGGATTTCAAGGTACATAAAAACTACTCCCGAAAAAGGAGTTATGTTCAAGAAGAACTCCAACTACCAAGATGTGATGGTTTATACTAATGCTGATTGGGCAAGTGCTCTTGATGATAGAAGATCAATCTTTGGATACTTCACATTTGTAGAAGGTAATCTTGTCACATGAAAAAGTAAGAAGTAGAGTGTTGTAGCTAGATCCAATGTAAAAGCTGAACTCAAAGGACTTATTCTTGGACTCTGTAAAGGTTTGTAGCTTAGACTAACATACGCATCCCATTCAGTTATATTGTGATAATAAATACAACCTTGTCCAACATGACTGTATGAAGCATGTGAAAGTCGATAGTTTTTTCAAGGAAAAGCTTGATAAAAAAGTTTTGGAATTGCCAAATATTCTATCTGAAAATCAGCTGGCAAATATACTTACCAAAGCTATTACAAGTCAGATTTTTGGGAGATTATTAGACAAGTTTGGAATGTATGACATCCATTTACCAACTTGAGGTGGAGTGTTGAAATTAAAATATCTTATTAGCTAAATTATAAGTTTGTATAGCTGTACAGGATATTGTATAATCAGGAGTTCTTTAATTTAGCCCTAATTTGTAGACTCCCTTATTTAGCTCCTAATTTATAAGAGTAGAATACTATAAGAATAGAGTTTCCTGTATACAAAAACATATAATAGAATGAATCGTATTTTCTAATTTTAGTTACCTTGAGTTTCCACGAGAAACACAAGAAAAAAAAGGTAAGAAGAGAGATTATAATTTGCAAACCTAAGATTGATCTATTGATCTCTCAAACTTCCTTTTATGCTATTCCTAAAAATCCCTTAAATAGACCTAGCCTAATTATCCAATTAGGAAAATTGTCAATAGGATAAGGATATTAAAAATCCTAAAATCAGGAAGCAATAAAGCTCCTCTAGCACTCTAGCGAGCGGAGGATGATGCACGATTTCTCAATGTTGGTTTAAGAAGCTATGATAAAGCAATTGGAGGAGTACTAGAATGATTGGGCTTATCTGAAATTTATCGTCGTTCTTGACATGGTTTGGAACTTTGCCTTCATTGTTGCAATAATCACTATATTAGTTTTGAAAGTGGGGAAGCACCAACGAGGAGGAGGATTGTCACTGTCAACATCTACATTATGAATTACTTAAAAATTGATCCGGCAACTTAATAAATGGATAAAATTTTGTTAATCAAAAAACGAACGACTCGTATTTAACAAGTGTAAACAAAGCTTGACAAATACATCAATTAATTTAATATGTTAAGATCGTTCATATGAGGATTGTGATCTAAGTTCAGCAATATGTATAGAAATTAATAGAAATGCAATTTGAAAACATGCTTTTTGGATTTTATCAATAAAAATGCTAATTAATATAAAAGTTCAGACTATTAAAAATAGTTGTAAAACAAAAGCAATAATGCAAAACTACAAGTAAAGAAGGTGTTACACAATAATTAACAATAGTTAGTGTTACACTCTGTTTTCTGTTAGTAGCTGAATTGTATAGTGGTTAATTAGTTTTTCTGTTAATTACTTTTCTTGATTATATTTTTTTGTATATAATTTATTTTGTATAACCTTCTTTTCAATGAAAAATACATTTCTTCAATCTCTCAAGTTTTCTCTTCATGAGTTCTTTTTTTTAATATAAGGAACTTGAATTTGGAAAGAAGAATATAAGCAAACAACAATGAAGGAACATAAAGTTTTACGAAAAATGTAATAGAACACAAAGTAATTGATGTTTATGAAAAAATTAAATCGGTTAGGTCCGACTCCTCTAGATTTTCACCTTATGCGGAAAAGAATTCTTAATCAAGATTTTACAACTCAATTATTGAATGGTCTAATTTCATAAGTGGTTAGACTCTAATTTCATAGGTAGAATCTAAAAAATTTTAAAATTGAATCACTTATCATAGTTATGAGAATTTAATCAATTTTTTAAATGTCAAAAATTTCTTAGATTCTACACTTGAATGACCATTCAATAAAGCATTAAACACATAAATAAACAAGTGCAAATTAAAGAAATACATAAGGCTCAAATCCATATTACATCCTATCTTTACCTAAGAGAATTAGAAATACATTACAAAAACAAAGAAAAGAATGGAAAAAAGAAATATGTAAAGAGATATCATCCATTGAATTTCAATATTTGTGTCCGTGTCCATGATATCTCATTTAATATCACACAAATTGAGAAGAGAGAAAACTAAAGAATCCTACAAGTAAAACTAAACAAAAAATCATTGAGAAAAAGATTGAGCAATTTATCAACTTCTAATAACTCAATGTAAGGTTACTCTAATGCGAGTGCCAGAATGCACTCTCATTATTATAAAATTCTAGAAAATTCTCAAAATTGTTAGATATTAGAACATTAAAAAATGAATGTCTTGACGTGTATAACTTCATTGACTTTTTATGTTCAAAAAGTAAGAACATTGTGTTTAAATGTCCCAACTTATGTTGTGTTTAAGGGTTTCTTTTGGCAAGATGCAGGGACATTGTAGTTTATATGTCTTCGCTCGCGCTTAAACTATTGTCATCATATGATCAGAGGGTGAAAACATTGCCTTGTCCTCCTACATCAAATATTACTTCAAGCTTATTTCTTTTTTCTTTTACGTTATGAAATCCATTTTTTTTTTCCTTATAGAATGTCTACCTGAAAATACATCATAATTCATCCATCATGTTAAGGAAATTGTAATTAAGTAAATTTTATTCATACATAAAGCATTCTGTAAAACGCTTAATTTATAATTAATTCTATGCATTTTTGTTTAATTTATAATATTTTTTTACATAATTAACTATATAAATCCACTCATGACGTGGATTTATAAAAAAAATATGAGAAATAAAATTATGCCATTAAAATTTGAATCAAACAACCATCTAAGTAGACAAAGAGACCAAAAGAGAAATTAAGCTTAGTATTTAGTATTTAATAGTTAACGCTGCTAACTAAATAGTAAGAATTTATCAATAATACTCACGATGTTTATGAATTCAATTTCGGACACATTCGATCAATCAAAAAACGTGTTTTTTCAACGGAATCAGTATTCTTTAATTGAAACTTTTAAATAAACTGACTAACGTGAAAGAAATCACTCAAATATCACAAATTGTGGTCCCGAACAATAAATTAATGGTAATCATCGAGTGATGCTAAAATTTGTTTCCGTTAAATTAATCAACATTGAGAATCAAACCATTAAGTATTATTCAGAACCATCAAGCACATATAATTTGACCAATCAATCAATCGAACCTCTCGGAAATCATATTCCTGTATAAGCTTAATACTTAACATTGTATAGCTAAGTGGTAAAATCATGAACCCGTTCGATCAATCAAACAAGTGTTTTCCAAATGAATGAGTATTGAATTTTATAAAACATTAATAATATAAAAAGACCAAACAAATGTCCCAAATTATGGTCACGAATGATAAATTAATGGTAACTATTGTGTAATACTTAAATTTATTTCCGTTAAATCATTAAACCATTATCGAGAGCCATCCAGCACATATATTTTAACCATTCAATCAATGAAACCTTTAGAAAATAATTGTCGAGTATAATTAAGTGCATATATTTTATTCAATAAAGCAACATTCTAATTAAACTTAGGTGCCACGACATTTCATTACTATTTAATTAACGTCTGCACAAAAGAAAAGAATCAAAATTATCAAAAAAGGCCAAGAAATAAAAGTTACTTGAGTCAGCATCAGCAGTAACTGACAAACCGAGTTTATTTAAGTATCATATTATTTTGGATTTTTAATGTTCCGTTCTTAAAAGTTGAGTCCGGCATTTATAAATGGTAATTATTGTGTGACAACTAATAATGAGAATCAAACCAATAAACTAACACTACCAAAAAAGAGATAAATACGAAAGTGGCTCCATGTGAAATTACTCTTACAAAGAAAATATCTCTCCAAAGTATAAATATGAATTAAGAATTTAAAATTTAAAATTTTTTTTTCTGAGTTTTTTATTATAAATTAAAATTAATTTATTATTATATTGAAATTTGAATTTATATGTTTGATATTCAATTTTGTTTTATTTTTATCTCAAATTAAAATTAAAACTTAATTTTGTACATTGTATTAACCAAACCGTCCATATATGCATAAATAGACGTAAAAAAGATCAACTTTTTTCTAGAAAAGTAATTTTTACTACTCTCTAAATATATTGTTACAAGAGATCTTTACTAACTATTATTTAAATTAACACGCTCGTGTTTAGTGTAGTGTAATATTGAGAGCGATCAAATACATATATTTATAAATGCAACTAACGCTAATTAACTAACTAATGAAGCTACTCACAAACATTTACACCGAGAAACTTATTTTAAATGTTAGTTGAAGGAATAAATTTAAGCATATGCTTATTTTGTATGTGTATATAATTCAATTAAAACTACATAAATGAAAGGACATTACGAAGCAAAACACTTAAGAAACATCTATTTCAAACGGACATGGTAACTGAAGCAATGTCTGAGTCTCCACTTGCTGTTGTTGATTTCACAAATGAAAACATGAAGCCTGGCACCGATACATGGCTTGAAGCTTGTAAAGTGGTGCGGAGAGGATTTGGGGATAACGGTTGTTTCCTAGCACGATTTGACAAGGTTGGTCCAGAGCTTCTCAACTCCGCTTTTAGTGCCACTGAAGAAGTATTTGATCTCCCATTGGAAACAAAGAGTAGAAAAACCAGTGATAAACCATTACAAAGATATTACGGAAAAATCCCTGTAATCCCTCTGTACGAAGCTTTTGCAGTTGACAATGCACTGAATATAGAAGAATGCAAAAAGTATACACACATAATGTGGCCCGGAGGAAATGACTATTTCTGGTATTTACCATTCCAACTTTTGCTAGAATATTTGTGTCTCAAATATCTGTAGGTGAAAGTTTTTGGTGTTATTTATGGATAAAAATTAGCTTCACTTTGATAAACGGTCTATGTTTAATGTTGTCGCAAGTTAACGAAGTATGCTGTTACATAATATTAAAATAAAGTTCTATTATTTTTTATTGTCAAACAACACCGAAAGTATTTCACGAAATGGGCTTAAATTTTGTTTTTATAATTAAGTTTTTCATTATAATTTGGCTTTCTTCCCTAAACAGTGAAAGGGTGAATGCATATGCTAAGGTGATGAAGGAACTAGACCAAACCGTGAAGAAAATGGTGTTTGACAGCTATGGTTTGGACAAGAAGAAATGTGAGTCGTTCCTTGAATCAATGAATTACGTGTTTCGAGGGCACAAATACAGGATACCTGAGATGGATGAGAGCAATGTGGGACTGACTCCTCACACAGACACAACCTTCTTAACCATACTGCATCAGAAGGTAGCTGGCTTGGAAATTAAATTGAAAGATGGAAAATGGTTTCGACTTGATGCCTCACCTTTGTTTTGTGTCCTGGCCGGTGATGCGTTTATGGTAAGTCTCTTTAAATTTCTTATATAAGTTACTTTTAAAAATGAAAGAATCATGACCATTTGAACATGATGGCTTTATTTAAATTTGGCTATGATAATCTTTTTTAATAAATTTATAATAAATTAAAAACTAATAATATATAAATAATTAGGTTATAAATATCACATATATAAAAAAAAGAATCTTAAAGGCCAAAATTATAAAGCGTAATTAAGTAATGTATTCAATAATTATATTTTTCTTAATATGTATATTGTTTTATCAATATCTTAATTTTTTTAAGAAATTATCGTAGTTACTATGTTGTATTATATTCAACATTCGTCTTCATATTTGTTCAATGTATTGATAAAAGAAATTCAATACTATTTTAAAGATCTGAGTTGACATTCATGTATGGCTTTAGGTATGGAGCAATGAAAGGATACGTTCTTGTGAACACCGTATTATCTTATCAGAATCAAATGTAACCAGGTATTCATTGGGACTGCTTTCATATAGTAATACGATGGTGCAAACATCAGAGGATTTAATCGATGAAGAACATCCTTTGCGATATAAGCCATTCAACCATTATGAATATATTGGTTTCGTTTCAACAGAAGAGGGCGCAAAATGTAAAAATCGAATCAAAGCATATTGCGGTGTTTGAGCCTCTTCGGTACGAAGGAATAGCAGAACATTTCATATTTCAGCGGTATGAAAAGAAATATGTTTTGTTTTCTTATGGGAGCTACTATTGACTGTTTACGGTGAATTTGCAAGTAAAATATAAATTCAAGAATAATCTGTGATTAAATTTTCGATTTTCTTTTACAAGTTCTTTAAGTGTGTTCTTTTTGTTCTTCAAAGATTAATTAAAAGTTGTATAAGAAGTCAAAATAAAAATTTAAAAGAAATCTTATTTATAATTACAACACTCTAAACTGGCTTACTATCCATAAATCTAAATTGTAACTGTCTAAACATGTTGCTATCCAGCGTAATTATCTACAACACTTTCTTTATAACTACTCTTACATGTCATACACAATTTTTACCTTGTATCTTAATCTTTAACTGCTAGTAACGCTATTGATATTTCAAATCTTTGAGTCAAATAATTAATTTTCCTTAAAATCTTAATACTTGGATATTTTAAAGAATAACTTGATTTAATTATTTTGACAAAGTGATATTCAACTGATTCTTAATTTTAACTACAACAAATGGTAATGCCTTCTAAGACTTCTTAAAACATTCTCTTTTAACTAAGATTAAATTATGTCATTTTTTTACCTTGTAACTTTATCTACCAACCTTTCATAAATCGCAAAATTTCATCAAAAATGTAATTTTACTTCGACTAGAAAATCATGTTTCTTTATAGCCAAATTCGTCTAAAAACTTGTTTAAAAGTCACTTTTTTCTACTAAAAACTAATGTTTTCTTTGGCTATAATCTTACTCAAAAGTTATCTCCATTTTTTACTAAAAATTAATTTCCTTAGGCTTTTCCCGTTTTCACAAAATACTTGTCCAAAACTAGAAGAATCTAAAGATTATATTATACCAATTTTAGTCAAGGTGGGTAATTATACTTTATAATCATCTTTTCAAAAAGTATTAGACTTTTACGTCACGTTTTTTGATTAAAATAGTTTAACACTTCAATCATATGAAAATCTTTTATTCAAACAAACGCTATTATAACTTAAAATATTTTCATTTTTCTGAAACAATGAGTAAATGATTGTGTTATTGAAAATTTTCTCTTATGAACAAAGAAATAAATAAAGATGAATTTTTGATATATACTAGTGAATTTCATTAATTTGAATTGGGTTTAATTATTTTAGTAGTATAGAACATCATTTTCTAATGAACTCAACTATTCTTTCTATGTATAATAAATGTACCTCTAGCTAAAAATGAACCCCATAATTTTTTTGATAATTAATAAAAAAAAGTTTTGATACCTAGTACTTTATTTTATTTCATTTTGCATATTGGAAGTACATGGATAAGAAAATATCATGAACAAGTTTGATTATATCAGTTCTTTTTATTTGCATAGTAATTTTGAAATATAGTAGATAAATTATATAATTAAAATTTTGTAAAAAATATAATTACACCCTTTAAGATTAAATAAAATTTTGATTGACACTCTTAATCTCTTTTTTACATTAACATATTTTAACTTAAATAATTAAGAATGATTTGTTTAGTTGTTGATAGTAAATTTTTTGAACAAACAAATAAATTTAAAATGTGAATCAAATTTAGGACAAAGACATAAAGACATTGGGAAGACTTTAAGGACCAATGGTAAAAGCAACGACAAAAAAGATAAAACGAGACTTAGAGGAGATGATTGTTGTCTTATTTGAAAATAGATCTAATTTGAAGTTAAAAGAACACAAAATGGTCAATTCCATATGCTTAGAGAATTTGAACTCCAATGAGTCCTATTAAGATTTAATTACTATGTTTAATTTAGTTATTTGAATATTAGACGTGATTTCTTTAAATTTTTATATAAGATAAAAACTTCTTATTTTATTTAATTTATTTGTATTTGGACTTGTTAGCACAAGAAGTCCATTACAATTTATGTTAGTGTTGGTTTATGAGCACAATACACATATAAGTTCTTGTAAACATACTTTTAATTAGTTTTATATGTAATTTGAGATTGAATACTCTTATGAGTGAGTGACAATCTTGACTGAACTAAATTTTCTTGATCTTATTAAAAGGATAAGACTTGTGACGATCGTTCATTTATTTTATCAATCTTGTGATTGTGATATCTATTTCTATTCTTTTTTTATTTTTATTATTTTTTTCTTATTTGAATTCTTATCCTAATAATTCTACTTTTTGCCATATGCAATTCAATTCAAAATTGTTCAATATGGCAACACAGATTGTAATCGCCATTAATTCAAGAATAATTTTTATTAAAATTAAGATTTTTCCTAATGAATTTTTTATTAGTGTGTTTTAAATTAATAAAATTAATAATATGAACGAGTAACATTCAAATGACGAATGTACAACTTCAATTAAGATAATATAATTTTTAATCTTCTTTTATTGGTCTAACTTGATAATTAAAAGAGAAATTTTGATCTACAAATCTGTATTTTATTTCATTTTGCATATAAGAAGTAGATGGACAAGAAAAGATAATGAGCAAGATTGAATATATTCTTTATAATTTAAATAATTAAGGGTGGTTCGTATAATTGTTTATAGTGAATTTTTTTAGCAAATAAATAAACTTAAGAGTAATTTTCATTGAAATTTAGATCTTTCTTAACGAATTCTTTATTAGTGTGTTTTAAATAAAATTGATAATGTGAACGAGTAATATTCAAATAAAGAACGTACAACTTCAATCGAGACAACGCAGTTCTTAATCTCTTTATATTGGGTCTAACTCGTGCACAGATTATTGACAATTTTTGAGATAAAAGTGCAAGTGTCTAAGAATTGAAAAGTCCTCTTTCTATCATCTAAAGTCTATTTATAGAAAAGATCGTTAAGATAATTGTCTAAAACATGTATTTTAATCGCTACTACCTGTTAACCCTGATCCTTGCCATCTATTTTTATTAGCAATCACTGTTACATATAAATTTTTTTATTAAATTTTACACAATGAAAACAATCTTTTCGACACATTTTTCTGTATCTTCTAGAGTCTTATGTGCTTAAATACCTGCATAAAAAATTGCTTCAACTAATTTTTTTATGAAATATGCTTTGATCTTTTGTTGACCGTATTTGTTGATGAAAAACTTTGAATAAACCTTTGCGACAAACTTAATATATTCTCGTACCCTACAATTTTACCCACACAAAACCATTCATGAATAATCATAAAAAACTAATCAAAATATCACCTTCTCTTCAACCAAAAAAAAAAAGTCATTATATTTTTAGCTCATACTTTACACAAAGAACTTGTCGAAATGACACTCAGGTTCGGCCAGAAACTCATATTTCTTTGGCCATAACTTTCTTAAAAAACTTGTTAAAATATTACCTTTTTTATACTAAAATCTTATTTTGAGAATAAACAGTAAATTTCGATTCTTGTAGGTTGCTTTTCAAGTAGAAATAGCTAATAAACGATAGATAAGGTAGAAAATTTTTCTCCTGAACAATAATGAAGAAGATTGTTTTTTAGTCAGCAAACAAATTATCATAAATGAGTGTACAAAGAGTTTCCCCATCTACATCATAAAGTTTCAAAGATATAGACAAAAAGAATAGGAAAAACAACTATAGCATAGAGAAACATAATAAGGGGTCACTGAACCAATAATAAAAGGGAAAAGGAGCACCCACCTATTTTTTCTTTTATCCAACTCCAAAATGTTTTTTTTATTAAGTCTGATAAATGATTTGTCTAAAAGAAATTTTGTCGGAAAATAATAACATTCCTATATTTTCTAGAAGAGAAAATAAAAATAAACTAAAATAAAAACCAAACCAAATTGAAAATCAAGCTTGTGTTGCTTTCTTGCTGAAATATAAACACCGTGTTACAGGAAGTCATATTTATAGTATTCCTTAGTATCATCGTATTCAATCCCATTAAGGCATAGCATTTGCTCTAAATAAATTGAGATTGGACATATATAGTAAAGGTGTGGATTGGGTTCGATGTTTTTTGTGAAAAGACACAATTGATCTTATTATTCCAAGGGTAGGCCACTTAGCTTCAACTTCTCTTTGTATATGTGTTTGGGAAAAGGAAATATTTTCTAAGTTATGAAGTCCTTCTCAGGCTTTTGACTATGTCCTAAGAAACCTATAAAAGGTTCCACTTCTTCGAGGTTTTTTTGAGGATTTGGAATAAAGTCCTTTCTATCATGCTACATTTCAAAGAGTTTTTAGAGGGTCGGAGGAGGAGCTCATTCTTTGTCGAAAATAAGGTTTTTCAGAGGAGTTTCTGAAGATCTTCTAGTCCTTGGACTTAAAATAACTAAAACTAGTTGAAAAATAATATTGACAAGAAAAATATTTTAAGTGCACAAGACTGAAGGTCTTTCGAGGAGTTTCTGAGAATTTTTAAGCCCCTGACACCCAAAACTGCTCGAAAAATAAGACTGACAAGAAAACATTCTAAGTTCAAAAGACTAAAGGTGTTTCGAGGAGTTTTTAAGGATTTTCAAGTCTCTAACTCCCAGAATTGGTCAAAAAGTAAAAACAAATGGAGAATTATTCTATGTTCACGAGACTATAAGAGCTCTCAAATTTTTTCCATAATTGATCGAAAAGTAGAGATTCAGGGAGAAATTATTTAAGTCCACATGACTAAAAGAGCTCCCAAATTTCTCTCAAATTTGCTCGAAAAATAGGAAATTGCAGAGAAAATATTCTAAGTCCAAAAGCGACATTATAGGGCTTAAAGAGTGATATCAAAAGAATTACAAGACTCAAAGAGGTCAATAACAATTACTAACGGTTACCATCAGTGGAAGGTTCAAAATACAAAGAAAGATCGTGGGCGATAATAGTTATGAAAGAAGCCACAACCGTTAGCATGATTAAAAGCAGTCATGGATAATGGGCAACAACGGTTGAAAACAAGCACGTGTAGAAGGTAGTTATTGAGAAGTGCCCATGAAAAGAGGAGAACAGTAGCGGTCCATTT